AAGATATTCATTTTTGTAGTATAAAGCCCGAAACAGATGTTAACTTTAATAATAATCAAGTGCCATTCAATATTAATGCCAGCACTGGAGGATTTTAGCCTGACTTAAACCTGATCTTATAAATCTTATTTAAACTGCAATAATAACAACAATAATTCACATCAGAATTCCACTTTTTGTCATGAAATCTTCTGTTTTTGTGTTATTTTGCTTTAACACAGGCTACATATCAGCCATTAATTAATTATCTGCTGCATCATGCTCTCTACTGGAGCTTTTGTTTGCTTTATTTTTTGCAAAGGCAACATTTATTTGATCCGGATTGTGTTGCAGAGCTCAGACAGCATTGACCTGAGATCTGAGGACGGACCGATCGCTACCACAGCGATCGATACTTTGATAGTCAAACGCTACTCATTTTGTGTGCTAACAAAACAGAAATAAGAAGTAACATGTTTTATCTTTTTTTTTCTAATGCACATAAGGTTCTTCCCGTTCAGCACTTTGTGCCGTTTCATATTGTTTTATTATTTTATTATCCTTTAAACTGTTTCAACAGTAGGCTATGGTGGCTAGGTTAGGTTGTGATTTATAATGAAATACTGACTAGCCTTTACCAAATGATAATTTCAAAGGAATTATTTTTATTGAGGAATAAAACCATTTTTATCAGTTTGAGAAAAAAAACAAATGAGATTATAAGCAGTACTTCCAAATGAACACTGCTGTGGTGAAAAGACATCTAGGTGTTTATTTGTAAATTAAATATAGCCTATATAAAATGTGTTATTTAAAAAAATAAAACTTACAAACCCAGGCTCTTTATAAAACTTGCCACACGTTGAAATAAAGTTACAGAAATTAAAATAATGCTGATGCGTAAAACAAATGCATATTTTAAAAAATGTTGATCTACAACACCTAGTTGTCCTTTCACTAAAACCTTGGTGTGGGTAATATCGTCACATAAAACATTAATATCGGTATGCGATTGTAAATGGCGGCCTGTCTCCCTGCTCAGATCAGCTGATGCACATTTTCAAGATGCCGTTGAAGCTTGCTGTGCAGTTTTTCCTCCCAAAAAATACAAATAAAAAATAAGTTGCATAATATTATCACTGCAGGTGGCTGAAAAACTCGTATCTCCAATAGTGGGGATTTTTGTTTTTTTTGTGGAAATTGAGGGATTACATGCTGCACTGATGCTGCAGTTTCTTCAGCTCCTTGGGTGCAGAAACTCTCTAAATAGTTACAAAAACATGCACAGTCATTCAACAAAAAAATAATGAAACTAAAAATGGTTCCATGACCATTGAGCCATCTGTGGAGGACGGCCGTGAGATGCGGTTGAAAGCTCCAGTAAAGTGAGATTATTTTGTCAAGCTACTGTTTCCGAGGTCAAGAATGAACCTTCAGCCTCAATAAAAGCTTCTTCCCCCCAATAAGAGTCGGCATTTTGGAGATACAAGTTTTCCACCTGACAACAGTGTGTGTAAAGCAGGGCCAGGGTGATTGTCTGGACCCCCAAAAAGCTGCAGGAAAAAAAGAAATGTTCCAGCATGCAGAGGCCTCCATCCTCCGCCGGTCACTTTAAAACGTTTGCCGGAACCCGGAGACAGTCAGCCGGTCGTTAACAACGGGATGGAGGCGGCAGAGTGGCGTTTGTTCATTAATTAGGAGTTTTTTCATTCAATTGTGTGTTTGTACGGCGGCCCGTAGCGCACATGCGCAGGAGGTTTTACGCTCATAGAGGCCTAAACACACACACACACACACACACACTCAAACCAAACTCAACTGAAGCGAAAAGGACAATCTGGGCTTTGATGGTGAACAGAAAACACATACAAAAACTCGTATTACAGCTGCATTGTTTTGCATAATTTTACACATGAAGAGTTCTATTCCAAAAACTTTTATATCCATTTATTTATTTATTTATTTATTTATTTAAAGGGGCGGTTTAAATAAAAAGAATGCAATTTCTTAGATCTGACCAGCAGCAGTAAGGATATTGTTAGCTGCAGTTCTGCTACATTGGGAAAAAGGTTAGATTTATTTTTTGGATATCATTATTTTGGAAGGAAACTCTTCACAGAGAGCAGTTTTATTATTATTCATATTTTTGTATCATTATTAGGCCTGTCCGGGGTCAAACCTGAGTAGAGATATGATTTGTAGGCTTATTTTTCCTCTCAAAACCCCTGATTGTTTCTGCTGATTTTAAGGCTTTATTTATTCATTATTTACTTTTTCAAAAGTTTTTCCTCTCGAAAAACAGGAAAAACGAAAAAGTTTTGATTGTCTTGTTTCTCCTTGATTGTCTCAAAATTCATAAATAATTATTAACCCTGTATGTCTTGTTTCACCCCCCCTCCCCCCTCCCCCTTTTCCTCAATACTGATGAGTATACACTGACAAATAGAATTTAAATACATTGTACAATAAATACAAAACATAAATAAAAGACTCAAAGAAAGTACTGAAAATCTTTGTACAAGATATAAATAGCTTGAAATATACTTAAAGTGTTACCTTTGGCAAGTCTAGTTTACAGTTGTACAACCCGCGGGTAACAAAAGTTTGTCCCTTTTTCAATAAAATGCGAAAAAACAAAATCAAAGTAAACCCGTTGCTCTTCGGGGCAGAATATGGCCAAAAAGTTTCACTTCATATATATTTTTTGCGATCAATGTTTGATATTTACCACTTATTATTTGCCCTTAACATGACGTCTCTTGTGCGTCCTCGTCCCGGTGCCATCCGCGGAGAGGTGATGGTGATAGGGGAGGAGGGTGAGGGAGGGGGGGAGTTCAGTTTAGGAAAGCGTTTGGAGTCACCCTCTTTTGATGGGACAGCACCCCGGGGAACCCCGCGGACACGCCCGGGGAGAAGGCCGGTAGGGAGCTGTTTCTAAGGGAGTCCGACAGCAGAGACTGCGGAGAGCTGCTGGTCGCCAGGCCGCCGAACCCCGGTGCGCCCTGCTGGAGATGCGGCGGAGGAGGCGGCGGTCCTCCTCCCGGCGGCCCCGGTGCCCCTGCAGCAGCGTGTTGCGTCCCTGAGACAAAATACCCGGCAGTCTGACTGGACAGCAGCCCGACCGGCGACGTACTCATCCCGTAACTGTTCGTCAAGCCCAGCGCCCCGGCGGCTGACCCGCCGAGGATGGAGCGCCCCAGGTCCCCGTTGCTCAGCTGTTCCACTGCGGGCAGCAACGACCCGTAGCCGGCCGCTTGGTTCAAAAACCCGGGTGAGGATCCGTTGTAGTGCGGGTGATGGTGGTGGTGATGGTGCAGGGAGAGAAACGGAGAAATCTGCCAGTAGAGCGGGTTGTTCGCCCGCTCGTTAATCCCCAAGCCGAGAGGAGCGAAGCGCAGCCCGCGTTTCATCGCCAGCTTGCCCCGGGATGTGGCGGAGCGCCTTCGGAGCTTTCCGGTTGTCCCCCCGATGAAAACATCATCGCTGCTCGGGTCCAGCATCCAGTAGTTCCCCTTCCCCGGGTCGTCGTAGTGCCTGGGCACCTTAACGAAGCACTTATTGAGGCTCAGGTTGTGCCGAATGGAGTTCTGCCAGCCCTGCTTGTGCTCCCGGTAATACGGGAAGTTTTTCATGATAAACTCGTAGATGCCGTTCAGCGTGAGCCGCTTCTCGGGGCTCTGCCGGATGGCCATCATGATCAGGGCGTTGTAGCTGAACGGGGGCTTGTCATATTTTCCGTTTTTCCCGCTATTATTACCGTTTGTGTTCTGCTCCGGTGTGGCCTTAGCGCCGTCCCCTCCTCCGCATCCCCCTCCGCCCTCCTCCTCCTCGTCCCCCTGCTCCTCCTTGCCCGGTTTCTCCGGGTCCAGACCCGCGGCCGTGGAGTCCACCTCCGCTGGGTCCAGCGACTTCTCAGAGTCGGAGCCCGGGGAAGGAGAGAGTGTCCCGGAGATGCCGACGACCGCAGCGGCGGCGGCAGCGACGGAGTCCGGTCTGTCGCACTTGGAGGGCAGCAGGAGGCTCTTGATGCTGAAGGAGGAGGACCGGTGAACGGTCGGTGGGTCTTTTACATCCTCCATGCCCGGTGGCGGGTCTCCCAAAAACGAGGAATAAATAATAATTAAAAAAAATAACAACAACAACTCCAAGCTCGTCCACCTCCGTTATCCGGTCTGGAAACGAAAGAGAGACAGAGAGGAGAGAGAAAGGAGGGTCAGGATGAGAGATGCATGGATGGAGGACTGGAGAGAAAGAGAGAATAGAGACGAACAGAGAGAGGGAGAGAGAGAGAGAGAGATAGAGAGAGAGAGAGCGTGGCTTGGATGTGGATAAATTAGTAATTAAGGAGGTTCCGACTCGCAGCTGCATCACAGAGAGGAGGAGCTTCTCCAACTTGGTGATTTTGTCAACAAATCCTCTTTTCTGCTTCTTCCTCTCCCTCCTTCCGTCTCCAAACTGAGAGTCTGACGACCTTTAATGTCTCCAACAACACAAACCTGTCATTTTTATCTGCTCTCTTTAATCTCTCTCTGTCCCTATCCTTCGGTATTTGCTCACATGCACCTCTCCCTAAATTCGTTCATGTAATTGTGCCGTGCGTCATGAACCCTCCTCTCTGTGCATGTGTGCGTAAAATCCCATTCTGAGCTTGTGCGTAAAAGCGCACGTCTGTCTGATGGTGTGCGCGCCTGTGCGTGTGCGTAAAAGCGCACAGTGCAGTCACGGCAGGCAGCCTCCTCGGCTTTGTTTTCTCAACGACAGTAATAGTTTGAATTCATGTCGGCAAACACAGCGCGTGCACGGCCGGTGTGTGTTCATGTGTGTGTGTTTTTGGGGGGGAGGAGGAGGAGGGGTGAAGCACTGAGCGCGCTGCTATTGTCTTCTACTAAAAATCATTGTGCCGGGCAGGAAACACACACACACACACACGCGCGCGCGCGCGCAGAGCCCAGAAGCAGCAGGTCTGACGCTGTAACCAGAGCGCCTCTTGTCGATAGCAGCCAGTACTGCAGCATAAATAAACCTCTATTTACTGACTGGTATATGTAAGCACACAAATAATAATAATAATAATAATAATAATAATAATAATGATAATGATAATAATGATAACATCGTTTGCCCTTTTGAAAAAATTTCCTTAAACTGTCTTTAATGTAGAGGGAAAACTTTTTCCTGTGCATGAAATATCACATTTTCTGTATCATCTTTTTTCAGCCCCCTTTTTTTAATGGCAGAAACAGGATTCTCAGCTGCTGAATCAGGTAGCTCTCAGTTCAAGGACAGAAAACTTCCAGAGAACAAAGGAGGACTGGAGCGCACTGATTAATGCACAGCCTTTAATTGTGCAAACAGACTAACAAGTGTGTTGTCATCAGAGTCAGAAATCTCCTTTGTTCTCTGCAAGTTTTTTTATTGCTTTTTATAGCGGCCATTGAGGATTCTAAAGTCACATTCTCGATATTGTTTCTGGGAATTTGGTGATTTTAACAACCTCTGGAGGAGTTTACACTTTACAATAACACACAAATTACACTGGTTGGTTTTTAGGGTCTGTTTTTATGCCAAACAATAAGTTAAATTAAAACCAAATGAGGGAAATTAGTCTGCCAGAATGATATTCCTGGCCATGTGGGAAATTCTCTGAAATGTAGGAATACATAATTTACATAAAGTATAACAAAACACTTAAATGAATAAGTATAATGTGAAAAAAGAGCATTATTTTAGTGTCTCCTAAAACATTTCTTAGGCAGGTGTTGTTGGGAGAATTTGGACACTTTATCTCATTATTTTATTTTATTTTTATTTCTGCATTAATCTATAAATTTATTTTCCTTTAGACACGTTTCTCAGCATTCTGCCTTACTTACAAATCTGGTGTGTGTGTGGTAAGATGTTACTGTAGATAGGAAAAATTCTCTAGAGATTTAAAATTTATTGTAAAAATACACTCTTCAATTTTCTTTTAAAACCTTTACTGCAGGCGGATATTTCAATTAAACACATTACTTTAAGAATATATAACATATAAACCCAAAACTGAAACACTTCAGATCTTTAAACTATTTGCCTCAAGGGACCCTCTTCAGACAGGTCTTGATCGGGCCAGAAAGCAGGACCTATTTAAGGTCATAAAGTCTGCTGTTATTGTGTTTGTGCTCCCAACTGTTAATAAACGAACACAAACCAGTTAACACACAGTAAGCTTGGAGCTTTTTGAGCCCTGGAGGTTTGCCCGGTTGCTAATCCAGCCCTGATTCTGCTGGGGAGCTACAGTATTATTAGTTGTGTGCACTCTCAGACAGTTTATAAATGGTTGCCCAATTCTTCCAAATATATTTTCCTCGAGAGACTCAATTGTGTTTTTTAATAAGTTTGTTTAAAAAGTTATTAATAATCTATAACACACACCAGTCACCATTATTGCTGTTTATTTATCCTGTCAAAAACAATAGAAACACAACTTAAAAAGAGTAATATTTTGATAATGAATTCGATTTTCCAGTTCCAGCTTCACCAAAGGGACAATGTGCTGTGATTTTCTAGCATTGGTGAATTAGTTAAAGGTCAAAACATCTCTTTAATGCTTTAATCTCTCTTCATGTTAAACATACATGTAAATATTAATTTTGGAGTTTACAGATTTTACGAGCTGCATTCAGTGACACACACTGAGCTGTGATCACTGTTTGTTTACACTCACTGCAGATTTTGTGTGAAAACAGAACGGAAATCCAGATTACACACACACACACACACACTCACACACACACACACAGGTCTTCCTCCTCCAATCTGCCGTATTAAATCTCTGCTGTGTTTTTGTGCCAGATGGTGTTTCTGTTTAACTGGATCTGAACCTCCAACAAAGGCTCTGTATGGGCTGCGTTCACAAGCCTGATGACACCAGCAACACATGCGCGCACACACACACACACAAACACACACACATACACAGTACCTCCAATACACTTTATTTATATGAGCCATCATTTCAGCAGGTGAGTTGAATGTTTCAGCGTTTTCACTTTACATGAATCAGACACATCACAGGACCAGCAACACACTGAACAGAATACAGAACATTACAAACATGGTCCATCAACCCTCTTTAAAACATCACACAGGCCAGTTTTCCTGTGTATTGAGGATTTTTACTGATATTTTAGGTGCTCTCACTTTCAAGTTATTTAGATAATCTGGATAAACTTTTGGTTTGTTTCCAACTGACAATGTTATTCATAGACATGATGGGCAAAACTAAGACCAGAGTTGTTATAAATTGTTGTTATTTTTTAAGGCCAACAGTACAGGAATAAGAGATTCTCAACAGACAAAGACAATAAGTCCCTAATGTTGCTTATACTACTCACTGTGCTCTTACATTAATGATTATGGGCTTAACCACTTACCATAAGGTAAGCAGCCTGTACTGTAAGCTTGCAACGTAAGGGGAAATTCCATCTTCATCACATACTTATCCTGTGCAGGGTCGCGGGGGGGAGACCCTGTTGTACAAGGTGAGAGGCAGGATTCACCCCGGACATGTTGCTAGTCCCTCACAGGACTGACACACATGTAGACAAACACATTCCCACCTTTCAGTCCGAAAGCACATTCAGATGAAAAAAAGGGCTAAAGCCGGTCTGAACCAGGCTCGGACTGACAATCGGGTTATTCTGGAAAATGCCAGATGGGCCGGCCCACCTAGTGGGGCACAAGGCCACCACCAGCAATGAGGGAAAAAATGTGGGGGAATAAAAATGACCTGCTGGGCATGGCCCACTTGTTTTTGGAACAGCTCATCTGATCTGGATGTTACGTAGCCCTGGAAGTGTCAATAGGCTACAAGTACTGTAGGTATTGCAGGAAGTGGTAGCAACCACTGTCACCTCCACCCACCCCTTCAAGTGATCCATCCATCCATGTAATGTCATAGGTCAAGCAGCAAATATTAAAACAAAATCTGGACAAACAGAGCAGAGTTTGAGTCAAAAATGCAAATGAAATGGGTTTGTGACTGAGAAATGGAAAAGGTGAGAGAGAAAGAAAACTGTTGAGGCTGATGCTGGAAAATGGTTTAACACATTTATTATTCAAAAATCAATGGCAGTGCCAAAAAGGGGTGTGGTAGGATGAGCAGCAGGCTGATTCCAGTGGCGAGCAGGGTCAAGAAGAGAAGGCCACTGCTGAGGATGAACATATGACAACCTCCCATCAGGTGATCCCCTCTACATCTCTATGTATTGCTTAGCCTATATGTTATATGTTTTTCATTCCACTGGTTGCATGTACTGTAAATGGTTTTATCTATGCTTATGCAAATCGCTTAGTTCACAATCAGCAGATGATTTTATAATAGTTTGTATTTTTCTTTTCATTCTTACATCACTTATCTACTCTCACATAGTCCTGTGGTTGGTCTTCTTTACTTTCACACCACAAGTTCACCAGTCCAACTGAAAGTAGACTTTAACTTCCTTTTCAGGCAGAAACATTGTTTTAACAACACTTTTAACAACGTATCTCTGCCCGCCTGTACAGACTGCTTGTTCGAGGGGGAGAAGAGGGGTCGTCATGGGTTAGCCGCAGTCAGCAAGGCATCTCCGCAACCCACTTGTAGGTGGGTCGGGCACACTTTGGCCCTATTCCGGAGACGGTTCATCTTGGGTGCAGCTTGGCAAACTCAGCGCATTTGACCTGGTAATGGAAATGCAAGTCAGCTCGGCATGGTTTGACAAAAATAGCCAGCCAGCAGTTCCAGCCTTTAAAATGTGAGGATTTTCTGCTTTTCTTTTTTCATACTTGTTACACACCTGAATATCTTTGGGTTTTGGACTGTTGGTTGGACACAAAACATAGGGGTGTAAAGATTTACCAATACGGTAGAAACACTTTTAATGTTATAGATACAATTACATTAGTAAGTGGCCCCCTGGATGGATCCATGAACCAGTCGATAACAGGGTCCACTATTGTTAAAGGTAAAAGGTCAACACAAAGGTCTTGGACAAGAGCGACGAGAGTAACGTGGACCATCAAATTATTTCATCAATCATTTAGATTCTGTAAAAAGTCTAGAAGATCTGTCGGACAGCAATTAAGTACAGCGGTAGCACCACAGATCTTAAGACTCACCTGGTGAGACGGCATAGTGACACCTATGCAGGCAATGAGGAG